GACGACATAACTAGTGTTCACTCCAAACGCAATAATACTGACTGGATATGTCATCGAACAATTTCCGAATGCTCTTCACTCTCCTCAGATTGACACCTAAACACGCTGAAATCTGCGCACTGGAACTTCCAGCGCGAATGCCAACAAGTAAAGCATGTCGTTTACAAATTTTTGGTTGAATCAATTGTGGATTAATTTTATCTCACCGATGTTTTTAAACTGAACGTATTTTATTGTTGGTAAAATCAAAAAAGAAAACAACGTACAAGACAGAAATTAAAAATATAAAATGGTGACAATTTACCCATCGCAACTTTTGTGTGTGTGCGTATATATATATATATATATATATATATATATATATATATATATATATATAATATGTGTGTATATATATATATATATATATATATATATATATATATATATATATATATATATATATATATATATGAATGAGCTCTGTCACAAACACATATATATCGGAGTCGAAGGGTAAATGTCTATGATTTCATCTTGTTTGGAACTCGGTTGACTCTGATATGTAGAAAAATGAACATACGCAAACGTTCTTTTTTGTCTATGCCTGTATTTGTGTGTTTCTGCTTTTATCTCTAACACTAGCTCTCTCTCTCTCTCTCTCTCTGTCTCTGTCTCTGTCTCTCCCGCTATGTCTCATATATCTATCTATCTCTCTTTCTCTCTATCTCTCTTTATATATATATATATATATATATATATATATATATATATATATTAATGGGTGATGAAATATTTTCATTTCGTCCCAGATTACTGACAAAAAAACATGAAAAGTACATATTATTACATATTGTCATTCTACTTGGCACCCGTTTGATGAGTTTTTTAAAAACTTACAAAGAATTAAAACAAATAAATTTGTCCATTGCAATGCTAATAAAGAAAAGAGTTTTCCATTCATAACATAGGTGAACCGCGTTCATATTCAAAATAGATTCATGACATTTACTTTCGTGCGAATAACTATGTGAAATGTTAAGTAGTATTGCAGACAGAGCGCTTCTTTCTTGTGTGTCAATTTGTTTGATAGAAGGACAACTATGAATTAAATTTCTGGTATTAAAACTGTAACCAGACACCTTGAGAATTCTTATCAGTAGATTATGAAATGTAATAATCAGAGAACGGTATTAATTTTGTACAATATCTCCTGACATGACTGCGACAGTATCATATAATATTATATTATATCTTGGCTTGGCTTCGCGAAACGAAGATCAAGAGGAAGTCTGTATACAACGCTTGCAGGCACGTTTGTGACTGATAAGTCCAATCAGTGTCATACACAGTCGCAATAGTTGCAGCTGAAAGTCCGACGTGGTGTCGATGGTAAAGCATTTCCGTACTTCTTCCTCTGCCTCTTGTCCCTGATCGCGTCTCTGCAGGTATTTTCAGAGAAGAAGACAGCAAGGCTGGTGGTGAGATTCCAGGCATCACGGTACTCAACTAAGGTTGAACATTACCAATGCCTGATGTGACAAGCACCAACAAATTTTTCAGACAATCTTTCAATCGCTTCTTTGGTGCCCTTCTTCCATGATAGCCAGTGGAGAGATCGCCGTTTAATGAACTTTTAGGCAGGCGATGTTTCTCCATCCTGGGGAGAGCCCAGCGTAGCTGGAAATTCAACAACATAGCCAGAATGCTGGTGATCTTCGCCTTTAAAAGGAACCGTTCATGGAATAGCAGGTGGTGTCAGTAAGACTGTGTGTATATATATATATATGTGTATATATATATATATATATATATATATATATATATGTATATATATATATATATATATATATATATATATATATATATATATATAGATAGATGTAATATATATATATATATATATATATATATATATATATATATATATATATATATATATATATATATATATATAGATATATAGTGGAAAATATACATACATATGCACAATATATAAATACCCATATATGTATATTTTTATAATAAAAATTCCAGGAGGAAGAATTCAGGTGGAACTCAATATCTAGGACAGAGTAAGGATAAAATAAAAATGCTTAAACACTAATATTCCATGGTCATAATTTATTCCATTGGAATCGGAAATACGATCCAATTCATCAGACCTACAAATTCAAAAAGAAAACAGAAAAGAACAACACCGGAAATAAAAACAGAATTTAGAGAGAGTGTAAGTATGAGGAGGAGGGAGATTAAACCTTAACAGAGAGAATTTTAGGAGAGATGGGTGGAAGGGGTTTAAGTAAGAGAAAAATGAATGTTGTCGGATATCTAATGCATTAGGCATCCGACAACATTCTTTTTTCAGCGGGAGCTGCTGGACAACACTCCCAATCCCGATAAGTTTCAAAAGCGTCTCCGTGTCCATTTGGGTGACGAATTTTTCGCTACTCTCTAAGTTCACTCTCACAGGTGGAATGTTACAACTCTCTCGCCTCTCTGTCGCAGCTTTCACAGAAAATTCTTGGAGGAACTACATTCTCTGTCCCGCCAAATGAAACCTTCACGAGAAATATACGTCATGCCACTTACTTCGTAGTTAGCTGCCCACTATTCCCTCCGTATTACATCCTTGAGAAGTAAGTTCCATTATAAATCTTCTTCCCGCGAATGACTGCTCAGTGGAACCGATTGCTTAGAGGATTTACCCCCATTAACTGCAATATTCACCTATTCAAGGATAGGGTTAACCCGCTAAAATTTCCTCTGAACGTAACACTATATCTCAAGTGATCCGCAGAAACCCTCAACACAATTATATATATATATATATATATATATATATATATATATATATATATATATATATATATATGATGAATATTGAAGTCAACACTTAGAGGCGAGATGCACTTTTACATTTGCATACGCTCTATCCCTGATGTTAAGCACTTTATCCTATAAATATAGAAAACCTTAAGAGAATATTTCTTCATATATATATATATATATATATATATATATATATATATATATGTGTGTGTGTGTGTGTGTGTGTGTGTGTGTGTGTGTGTGTGTGTGTGTGTTTGGGGAAAATCCAAGAGAAATTGTAAAATGATTTAGTATATGTATGATAGCTGGTCACTCATATGCGAGGTTTCCCGTCGACATTGGTGTTTAGGCAATCCCTGTAGCAGACACCATCTCCGGAATATTTTTTTGTTTGTTATATACACATAGAGCCCTCATGATGTTTCTGTGGCAAATTTTCTGAGCTGACCTTACTTAGAGCTCCATGGAGAAAGCGCGTTATCTAACGTGATCAATACTCTGAAAAAAAAAAAAACACCCTCCGCCCTCAAAACTTCGATCGCGGTGACATGTGTCTTCATGCTTGCACAACCATCAACGGTTTCCATAGAATTCCGTATACCCAACTTCACTCATAAGTCTTGTGCTAATAAGTTGCTTTACTCTGAGTCAACTCGACTCTAGACTTTTAAAAACATGACAGTGAGATTTGAATACGTGTCTCATGTTCAGAAAGTATATATATATATATATATATATATATATATATATATATATATATATATATATATATATATTATAGGATATAGTTTCATGGTATGGTATATTTATCGGTTAAAGTGACCAATATCAGATAGAGTATGTGTAAATATAAATTGAACATTGGAGTCAAGTCCGAGATGTGCCAGTGTGTTTTATGCTAAACGCTAATGGCCTAAGTTGATTGTGTTTAACATGTAACAGACTGCTTCGATCGGGTATTGAATTCATTGTCAAAAATATATATATATATATATATATATATATATATATATATATATATATGTGTATTGATATAATAACAAATTTTTTAATTTTTTCTAGATATAGATCGACATAGGTACTTAAGTAATAACATAAAAATAATGAATATAAAATGTTACTTAAATTTATATGCTATATGCTCAATGATTATATTTTACGCTTTTATATATTCCGAATAAATTTTCCGACATACCAGATATTCTCCCAGTATATTCTTCGATGCGGACGATTCCACTTCAGCTAACACATCGTTTCCTTGTAATGTCCTTCTTCTTTCTATATGCGGATACTGCCTTAAAATCAAACGACAAGCCGTCTGTAGACGTTTTATTTAAAAAAAAAAAAAAAAACGACAAAGCACAAAAGAAAACTTTTAAAATGTCGTCAAAATGAAAAGTACAAATATATATTTTTTTCTTTGATATTGAAACTTTCACCGGAATCCAGGAAAATATTTTAGATAGCTTTGCCAGCATATATTTGTATAATTTTACTTAGATTTAGTCATTTTCCTTGTACGCGTCAAAATTCGATCGGGAACGAAATGTTGTATTTATATGCTTTTTACTTTATTATACATAATAAAAGAACTACGAAACTCTCAAAGAAGACACGACTATTGATTGAAATTATTTTAAAGAGGAAGATGGAAGAACTGCATATTATGATTATATGTTCATTAGATTATTTGACCGAAGACATGAAATTAAGATTGTAGTGATCAAGGAAGCATCTTCTTGAGAATATATTCCAGATTTTAACTATCTTACTCTTTAACAATAGAAATCGAAAGAAATTGGGAGTGTTTGCCATTTTGAAAATGGCATGTCGTTTCTAAGGAATGTAACTCGTTAAAATGTGAAAGATATTGGTATATCCTGTGGCACCAACAAAGACTGACACCAGACGCCGATGCAATATGTGTAAACGAATGTTTCCTTGTAACATCCAACGTTCTTAATAGTTTACTACCAACGATGTCGAATTACGTTCTGGTCGGTTGCCAGTGCTTATGATTGCTCATCTGGCTTGCTCACTCACAAGATTCAGAACATCTAGCGGCGCACTAGAAGACGTTATATAAGGCAAATTCATGCCAAGTTTTCGCATAAGATGAAAAGTGCCATCTGGGTGTGTACCATTTGTGTATGTGCAAGAATGTTTATTTAAGAGTACCTTACGTCGGTATGTGTTTGAATTTGTGTGGGCTCAAATGCGCCGCGCTGTCTTCTCAGCAGCCGACCTCGGTTGAAAACTGGAAAACAAGATCGCAGTGCGAAAGAAAACATCTGTTCACTACAAAGCATGTTTGTCTTCTGCACACAAAAATCCTTTCTTTCTTTCTTCACGTTTCTGACTTTGTTCTTACTACTTATCTTTATTTACTTTCTTTCTTTCTTTCATGCGTCTCCCGTTCCATCATTCGTTCTATTTTTATTCATTCTTTCGTTCGCACTTTTGTATTTTACGCACGTATTTTTGCCCGTTTTTCCTCTTTTTTCGTTCAATTTTCTTATTTGCTGCTTCGTTTTCTTTTTATCAATTTAGATTCATCTTTCGTAATTATTACATTCATTTAAGTTTTTCTTTTTTCTTTCGTTTTTCTTTTTTTCGCTCTTTCTTTCTGTATTTCGTAGTTGCTTTCATTCCTTATTTATTATTTTCTTTCATCCTATATTTCCTTTTATTTTCGTTCGTAATATATTCCTTTTTTTCGTTTGTAATTTGGTCTTTCTTTCATTCTCTCTTTGCCTATGTTTTTTTTTTTTAATTTACTTCGTTTTTTCCTTATTTCCTTTTGTTCTTTCTGCGTCTTTCGTCTGGTTTTTATTTATTTTTTCTGAGCTTTTTTCTTTTGTTTCTTTCTATTTTACACATGTTTTCTTTTTAGTTCGTTTTCCGTCATTTTATTTTCACTCTTTCTTTGCTTTTTATGCTTATTTCTGTTCTCTTTCCGTTTTCTTTCTTTTTCATTTCTTTTTCTTTCATTTTTTTTTTCTCACTAGTGTCTTTTTTTTTCGTTTGGTTCTTAGTTATTATTTTGATATTCTTTCGGATATTCTTTCTTTCATTTTTTCTTATTTCTTTTTCTTCATTTTTTCCTTACTTTATTCTTTATTTTTCACTCATTCTTTTTTCGTTTCTTTTTCTTTCTTCCTGTTTCCTTCGTTTTTTCTTTCTTTTGCATCCTTTTTTTGTTTCTTTTTATTTCTTCTATTTTCGATCTTTATTTATTTCGTTATTTTTAACTTTTTGTTCTTACTTTTTTATTTTATTCATTCGTTTTTTGTGTTCTTTCTTCTATTTGTTTGTTCTTTTTTTAACTTGAATTTTTCATTCTTTTCCTCAGTTGCCATATTTTTTTATATTATTTTACACTTCTGTCTGTTCTTAGTTATTAGTTTCTTTTTAAACATTCTTTATTTCTATACTTTTCTTTCATGCGTTCTTTTTTCATTCATTCTTTCAATAATTTTCGGTCATACATTCTTCATTTATTTTTCATTTGATCTTTGTTTGTAATATGTTCATTTGTTTCGTTCTCCGTTTGTTCTTTTTCTGTCTTTTTCCTTGTTTTATTCTTCCTTTCTTTTGTCATTTTCCTACTTTATCTTTCTTTCGCATATTCGATTATTCTTTCCATGGTTATCACTTCCGTTCTTTGCTTCTCTAGTTCTGTCTTGCATTCTTTTAATAATGCAGTCTTTTTTCTTTCTTTCATTTGTGGCTTCGTTTTTCTAGATTGGCATATTCCTTAATCCACTAAGATTTGTTGTTGGCACTGTATTCCATAAGAAGCCTGCATTGTATTTTGATATAAAGACATCCAACCAAGAAAATGGGTAGAAAAATAAATCGAATTCTGGAATAAAACCAATAACCGTGACATTTTAAAGTGTGATAAAGAAGGCATGTTCATTATTTTTCCTTTAAAATTTTTCTTCAGTTCTTCGATTTAGAGTCCTTTTCAATATTTGTTAATCTCGCTTTGCTTCATCATCAATAAACCAGTCAAACTAGTTTCTAGGTTTTGCATTCTGCCCATGGCTGTCAGTAGAACTTAGTGTATGTGTGTGTGTTTGTATTTGTGTGTGTTCATATTTATATAAAGTACACATACGCATATTTTCACTGTTAATTGTATTTTCTTTATTGTATTTTAGCAAATAAGTATCCCCCGCCCATTCTTCATATTGTTCGCTTTTTATAAGCGTCACATAATTTTGTTTTATAATTTCGATTTCTTCTTCAGTCCCCAACTCAAAAATTATTAAGGATTTTTCCTACAAACACCTTTTCATTATATATTTATTTTTATTTTTATTTCATGCAGTATTCGATTTACATTTCGTTTTTCTTTTCCTTTCTAAGGATTTATTACATGTTATCCTCTTTAAAGAATCCCATCAATTTATCAAAAAATTAATGGGGCTTATTGTTCAGAAAGGAAGATAATTAAGTAAAATTCGCAGTAAGACGTTAAAATATTAAATAAGGACCTTTGAAACATAAGTATATATTTAAATACACTTTGGATTACAATATATAAAGGCATATATAAATATCTGAGATGATGATTTATCATTATTTACATGTATAAGAACTCCTCATCTTTGTTAATTTCACATTGTTTAAGCAGTCACGCTAATTTCCCGGCCTTGTTCAGGTGACAATATGGTTAACTTTCAGGCATTTTCGAATTCTGACCTTTATTTGACCAACGCTATTTCGGGGAATAGTCTAATGCATTATTGTGTCATTGTAATTATTAGATCAATATCAAAACCAAGTGGTACAAAATTAGACACAGTGATAAGATGTATATTAACAGAGTAGTATATATATATATATATATATATATATATATATATATATATATATATATATATATATATATATATATATATATATATATATATATATGTGTGTGTGTGTGTGTGTGTGTGCGTGCATGAATATTATTTCTCTGTTAATGTACATTCTGTTTTCCCTGTGTCTAATTTTGTACCACTTGGATTTCAAATTCTGTGCTTGTGTGTGTATCTGTGTCTATGTAATCATGTAGATGGGTGCGTATTTAGATAGCCTTGAAAATGGCTTAATGTGCAGCCGCATGTGCTCAGAATAAAACATTTGGACAGTCTTTTATACAATTTATCTACTAAAGAGAAAAATGAGAAACTATATACAAAACTTAAACAAAACAACTTGTCTTTCATATTTGATGAAATACACACAACCAAACATACACACACACACACACACACACACATATATATATATATATATATATATATATATATATATATATATATATATATATATATATATATATATATATAGAGATGTATGTATAGAGAGAGAGAGTTTATACAAGTATAAGTTTCATCACATAACTGATTGACCTTAACTTCAACATCCAGACTCTAGATTTTCGCTGACGTACACTCCAAGGATCGATTTATCTATCTATCTATCTATCTATCTATCTATCTATCTATCTATCTATATATATATATATATATATATATATATGTGTGTGTGTGTGTGTGTGTGTGTGCGTATATATATATATATATATATATATATATATATATATATATATATATATATATATATATAATTTATATAGATATACATATACATTTGAATAAGTAATTATTCCTATACATAGCTATTAAGCAATGTCTTTTTTAAAATGCTGTTCGCCTTGTCATAACTGAAATTGTATATAATTTTTCTGTATATGAATACGTTAATCGTTATTATCTGATATACATATATATATATATATATATATATATATATATATATATATATATATATTGCTGACTTGTGAAATTATGTATTTTCTTCTTTTATACTCTTCAGATGTATTTCAATTTTATATTAAGACTACCATCTGAATGACTATTTCGTTGTCCTGCAGTCGCTAAATATACTGCAAAAATTGCTGGGAGGAATTAAAAGTTGTGACTGAGAACATGTAAATTCTTGGAAATAATTTGTTGTCATAACAATACACTTTATGTTATTCGATAACTGTTTCTTGTATTACTTCAAAATATTGGAATATTCCGATTGACATTATGAATCATCTCGAGAAATAGCAGTTATGTACAAAAAAATAAAATTCACAGGGAATATATTATAATAATTAAATATAAACTAATGGACTACTTTAAAATTTCAAAATATGTTTAAAGCAAATCATCGTTTTTTTATTGATGTTGATTTTACATGTATTATTAATATAAAATTCTATGTGGATAATGACAGTGTAAATGTTATCAGCGCGAAAAAATGAAACAACGGTTAATTACTGGCCTAGTTAGGTTTGTCCAATTTCCCGATACATGTAAACGTCCTTTACTCGTCGCTCCCAAATATGTATTAAATACGGAAGATTGGCCTATCTAGCTTAGGCTTGCAACCAATCAGAGAGGAATAATTTCATTTTAAACCATGGAGATAACAGCAGGAAATACAATCCACCATCTTTCCGAAAAATATATGACAGTTCCTTACTATCATCTTGAAAAAATTTGTGACGATATATATAAAACTGAGAATAATGTACATTGTGTTTTTTTATGTATTAATGACAATGATATATTTATGGAAAGTTAAAAAAAATAACAGGAATAATACTTTAATAAAATAAAAATTTAAATAAAAGAATCGACTAAAAAATAATTTATTTATTTAAATGTATGTTTCAAAATAACCTACTTTCGAGGCAGTATAGTTTAGCCGTGACTTCTCGATAGATCATTTTCGTCGTTATTTAGTGGAAACAAACGTAATAAAACTTTAGTAAAAATCAATTCTTTGAAAATCTAAGCCTTTGTTGTTTGAAAATCTATTGCCGCTATAGTTTTAAGCACATGCTTGAAGAAATGTAAACTTTCTAATGCAGCACCAAAAGACAAATTTATTCTTTTACAAGAATGTAAAATTTATGTTCCTTGATCATTTAGATGTGCATTTTTCTATGTTTTCAATTCAAGCAAGGCAAAAAATAAAAATCCACTAAGACAGGGCGGGTTACTGAGTGTCAAAGAATATAAGAAACGTACACACATAATTAGGTAGAGAGAACAATAAAAGGACAGGAATTAAGTAGGCAGAAATTAATGATTGTTATTGCACTTATGTATTTTTCTCAACTTTTGTTGAGCCATGAAATTACAACACTTTTTTTGCGCATCTTATATTAGCAGTATCTTGGCAACTTTTATTATTTGTTAATACAATCTGCTCGTTGAATGTAATGTTTTTAAAATAATTCTGTGTACTATAACCGTGTAATTTAAGAAAATAAATGATCTAACTCGAATCAAACCCTACAGCAATCTTCATAAGAAAACTAGAAAAGTATTCACATATTTTTAACAATTTGCAAATAAGTGATGTTCATATTTTTAAAAGAAAATATTAATTTGATTAATGAAAATTGTAAAGAATTAAAAGTAAAACCTATATTTACATGGCTGTGTAGAATATATATTCACACACACACAAACGCAAACACACACTTATATTACACTATTAGTTACTGGGTGTTTAATTTCTATGAACTAAAAATAATTTCTCAATTACAGTTTCTTCATCTATACATGTAAGATGAATACCAGTGAAAACAAATGGTAGAGATTTTTTATGAATGTACCTATATATCGAAATCTGAAATTAATTATCAAATATTTACACCCCAAGTGGCCATAAGAGGTGTGACAGTAAATATAGTTTTCTCTAATGTGGATGACAAATACTCTTTAATTGCGAGAAAATCAAGAAATTAAAATTAATCTTCTTACAATCAATGCATGACCATGCTAGAGGGAAAACGAGAATTATTATGTATGAGAATCCGTCGGTATAAAACAATGGCTTCTGTTACCAATTATAGGTATTTAAGAATATTTGTGGAGATTTCATAGTTTATTTTGTTCAGGTTAGGTTTTAATTGTTTTATGTATATAGCTTCAAGAATTTTTACTTTGTGTTTATTGTTTTCAGTATAGTTGTGTTTTCAACAAGGATTTTCCGGAATTGTGGCGTCATTACCTGCGGTGCGATTTTCGCTTCCAGCGCCCTAAATTCACAAGTTTGTCGTTGCTTGGAAATCTTCCATGTAAACAGAAACAGACTATCATCACTGATTTTTCCGTGTATTGCTTAATTTCTTGTAATGTAATTGTCATATTTGATAATGCCTTAGGTAAGCCGAAAGCTTAGATAGGATTAAAAAAAAAATGTGTATCAATATTGTGATTTTCTTTCTTCGTTTAATGATTATCTTATTAAGCTTAATATGAAAGAATTTACATAATATAAATAGACAAAACTTGTCTATATTATTTAATGAAACATGCATCAAATATATATATATATATATATATATATATATATATATATATATATATATATATATATATATATATATATTGATATAAATATGTGACCCTGGGTTTCACGCTATTTGCGAACGTCAGAGAAACTTATTATTTTTTAAATTCTGGATTTACATATGGTTGCGTCGATCGGTGTTTTTATGGTACCTCGACTTCAAGAATTTGAGCAAGAAAAGTGATTGTCAGCTAGGGCATATCTGTATAGATTTTACTTTGGAAATATTCCGGTATCTTCCTTAAAAGTCAAATAGGTACTTCAACAATTCAAATGAAATGTTAATATTCATTTGTTTCATTGAATCACGTTCTTTATTTTATTTTTCT